TAACTCTTTGTAAGTCTTGCTGATAAAACAATACTGATATGTATCAGCAATCAGCGATGACACTTCATCAATAGCAAGAAAGAAAACTGTCAAAGAGAGTCTTTGATAGTTTCATTTAAATGCATTAGACATAAACCAACATGCAACAACATAATGGATAGTTGTGTGAACAATCTCTAAGCGTGCCCCCTACAGGCTCAGAAACAGACCTTGATGATGGAGCCCCCTCTATCGCTCTCCCTGTGACATCTGTTTAGGCCTCCTGAGGTGCACGAGTCCACGACCACCAGGTCTGGGCTTTGCACCCACAACCCTGTTTTCCCACCACCTCCACCTCAGCTACACACTCCTGGCAGCCCAAAGGTTGGTGCAGGGTGCCCAGCTGGTAACCTTAACCTCGCTGCGGTGTGGAGACTTCACCCTGGTTGTCCTCTGAGCCACTACAGGTTTAACTTGCTGTCTTTATTTAACATGTATCAAGGTGAGATCCTTCCTTTATGCTTACTTGTTTTGTACATTTCATACATTTATTTATTTGTGATTTAATTGTTTTGTTAACATCAAAAAAAATATTACCTGTGAACCTGCGGCTAAACTAGTTCAATTTAAAGTGAGGTGGTTGAATTCAAAGTAAATAATTAGCGATTATCAATTATCAATATCACCTGAAATGAAAGTTTTAATCGTTAGACATGTTTCAGCTATATCACCCCGGCCTAACTTCGTAGTCTTCAAACGCTCAGTGGAACTGAATTTTGTATTTGTGGAAGTTCTGTCCTGTCTAGGAGGTGCTGAGACACAAACTGGAACTGACACTTTCTTTTCAAGGTACCAAACAGCCACAGAAGAAGACTGCTAAGATAATCATTGGGTTTGTTGAGCTTCTTTCTACAATATAATATTGTAAGTTTTTGATGTTACTATGTGAAGCACCCTAAGATTACTCATGTTGTGAACTGGTGCTATATAAATACAACTGGATAGAAATTAAATGGTATCATATGTATACATGATATCTACACCAGTGGAAGTAATAAACACCTGACTGTTGCACTGAGCAGTATTTCTGAGAGCTATCAACATGCGATTTGAGTTCTGCTCTTAAGAGTTGGCGTTGTGACCTTTTCTTTATGTAGAAGGTCCCTCTGAGTCATACATACCAGTTCATCTTTAAAGTCTCTTTTCAAAGCCTACCTTTATGTAACTGTGTTTTTGTACTTATTTTTCTCATCTCATCCACCTTTCTTTTACGATGGTTTTATTTCCTTGGATGATTTTTAACCTACATCGCGCCTGACCTCCCTCTCCCCCTTCAGTGTTAACAAATAAATCCTGTTTACTATCATGGCTTGTATTTGTATTTACTGTATGTATCATAACATTGTAAGAAATGCTTCCTTCACAGTTTCTGTACTGAGAGCAGAAAAAGAGATCTATTAATAAAACAGTTGGGGCCAAAGGCTGAGATGCTCAGGCCTCGCGACGCCACTGGTTCTGCCAATGTGCTGCATTCAAAGACATCACTGGTCTTATCGGAGGACAGTGGTGAGGCAAAAGAAAACCAAACAGTGCCAGAGGACAAATTTAAGCTCAGTAACACAGGTGGAAAACATGTGGCCATGAGATCAATACATGCTGTCAGACCTCTTTAATCTACAGGTCTCTTGCTGAAGGCAGCAGAGGCAAACTATTATTAGTTTGAAATAACCTGTTGAAGAGGATTCCCCGATGATTCACTGGTGTGAAAATAACCAAGAGATGGTAAAGTGTTTTCAGACAGACCATTTTAAAGTGCCAGAGAAAATGTTTACAGGAATAGTTTGACATTTTGAAAAACAAGCCTGTTCGCTCTCCTGCCAAGAGCTACATCGAAGAGAAATTCGTTACACCTGTCATGTGTATAAGGCTGGAGCCAGCTGCCGCTTTGTTTGCACAAAGACTGGAAATGGGGGGAAACGGGTATCTGGGATCTGTCCAAATAGGTAACTAATTTCACAGCATATTGTTTTTAAATAAAGAAAATCTGACTTAAATATTGAGCTCTAGAGATGCTTGTAGTTGGATTTTTTTGAACTTGGACATAGTCAGACTACCAGTTTCCTTTTGTTTCCAGGCTATATACTAACCTAAGCTTAGCTATTAATGGAGAACATTTTGACTGCACCTCATCATTATTCTGCTATAGGGGATAAAATGCTCTGGCTTGTGTACATGTCTTTAAACTAGCCCCAGTTGTCTTGGCTAATGCTAAGCCCAGGATAAAGTGATGACGCTCCTGCAAAATGGTGATTGGAAAATTGTTTCAGTAGAACATTTACATGCACTAAGGCAAGCAGTACCATTAAAATGGCACATTCACCCAAAGAATCAAGTGTGATCCAACTTTTCTTTAAAATTTGCCATTTTCAGTGTGTAGGTTGTTGCTCAGGGGTTGTTGTTGTTGTTTTGCAGAAAAGAAGGAGAATCTGTCAAGGAATGCACAGGTTAGGGCTTTCTGTATCATTAACCTTCTTCAGAATCGGGTTCCAGTTTAACCATGTGTGGCTGAGTTATTACTCCAGTCCTACAGCTTGTGTAGCCCAGAGTAGTGCAGCAGTACAGTGTTTGATCAGAGGTGAACAGGTGAAGTGGTGTGAGTGTCTCAAGAGGGAGGCTGAGATTTATCTGCGCATGCTAAACAAAGCAACTATGTTGAGTTAGATGTGAGCCATTTTAAGGCAGGAAGGGATTATTTTCACAGAGAAAAAACTTCTAATAAATAACTCTGATACACAAAGAGTCATGGGTTAACAGCCAGAGAGGGACTTTACCAATGCTAACACACCACATGGTGTTCCTTCTGAACCATGGGTGTTTGTATAATGATGTTGCTGTGTAAAGACGTCAGCGGTGAAGGTGTTATTAACATGCTTCCCTCAGGGTTAAGAGTCTATTGATTCCTCGCTGACTATTCAGTCAAAAACACCCTGGCCACCCTTCACTGATGATTGAAGAATTAAACTGAAACACATCAAGCGCTCGAGTTGCCAAGTTGCGCTTAACCGAATGTGCATCTTTCCGGGCTCAACAAATGCCCCTTCCTGCATCGCACACACTTGGGCATACCTGGGAAATATTAAACAGCGTGAAGCCTGCGAGTTCTTGCACTTGATATTAGCTTTTGCCTCAAGGGTCTCATTTACTTTGTCCCCCTGACGTTGATGCAGGAGCAGAGAAGCAAAGTGACGCTGCTGCTTTCATATATTTCATCTGCGGATAAACACAATATCCCTCTTGCCAATTCACCGATGAGATGAGAAGAGTGCAAATTGCCCTCCTGAATGCATTGCTTTAATCAGAATGAATCAGGATGCAGATTTAATCTTGGCTTGTGCTTTTACTCAGCAATTTAGATGTTTGAGCTTGGCTGTGCAAATTTGTTGGAGGGATGAAAAGAAATTGCTGTTGCTAAGATTAACTGTATATTTAATTACTCCAAAGAACTCCCTGTTCCATGTAAGTAACTGCTGTACGGCTCCCTGTGCCATACTCCTCTTAGGAAAAAAGTGCAGCAACATGCAAAGCTGTTAAAAGAACAGACAGTGGTTTCTATAAATAACAACATGAGCTTTTATTATTTTGTGATGCATTATAAGCATTTGAGTCCAAAACAAGTCATTTTGAAAAGTCATTTTCTTACATGAATCTGCAAAGGCACATTCAAGCACTCCGACAAGCCTCTCAGTCCTGGCAGTGCTTTGGCAGAATTGTCCTTTTTTTAAAATTTACAACACGTGCTGCAACCCCTGTTCAAAGCAAGGCTTTCTGAAGGAGCGAACTGGCTGCAGCATCGATTTTGCCACGGAGTTTCTGAGCTGTTTGAGGAGCATCCAGAGGAGAAGCATCAGGAGCATCAGGAGCCCGAGAAGCATCCCCACGTACAAGCTCAGGTTCCAGCCCCAGCCCAGCGCCAGGGGCAGCGAGGTGGATGCCACCAGAAATTTTCTGGGGGCAGGCATGGGGTTAGGCATCAACCCGCCTTCTCCAACTCCAAACAAAGCTCTTTACCCACACTCGGATCTTCTTAGGGGTTGGACAGATGCTGTGCTGTAGCTGCAGGAGCCATTGTTTGGTGAGTATCCGACAGGTTTAGCTATGTTATAGAATTCCCATCTGTTTCCATGGTTTAATCCTGCAGTTAGTCACAAGTGTGTGCCGTCAGTGATAAAGCAGACCTGTTGAGAGTGTGTGCATGGTCATTGAGCTGTCCGTTCTCCTGAATGAAAATCTTTCTGCAGCTGGGCTCCGCTTCCCCTCTCCTGTCAGACTCCTCGCACAAAGCCAGCCTCCCAATTTATCATGAGAGGGGGAGAGAGAGCGAGGTGCCTTCAACACCATTGGCTGCCTTTAGTTGACTTTCACAGAGGAGGAGGGGGGTGAAACACTGATCAATGAAAAGTGGAAGACATCAGCCCCTTTTGTCATTTTCTAATTGATAATGTGCAGACATGTTTGCCAGCAGGTCTATTTCCATTTTCCTTTATGCACACTACTGGATCTGAGGAAGCTGCGTAAAAAACAAAAACCCACAAGACGTTAAATAATTGTGGTTCTCTTCAATTTCATGTATCTCAAGCTTTCATTTTCCTGAAATGCAAGACACCCTATTTACTTTTTGCATTCAAAACAAGATTTTAACTACCGGTACCTATGTATGCTAAGTCACTCTATTCTAAGGCTAGTATACCCAAACTATCAGCTGTGATGTAGTTCACTTTCAACATCCGACTTCAGCTACAACTCAGTACTCTCAGTCTAAAATACACAATTAATGCACAGATGGGAGATACATCAGTCTTTAAATTAATGTTCTATCCAAATTCACTTCAGCACCTTTTCTACACCTTGCTTTCTAGACTGTGAACCCTCACATGCATTTTGTTAGAGATGCTCCGCCTCATCTAAGTAAAGCTGGTCCTCTGCTGCCCCCATGAGTCCAATGTGATGAAGATGTTGCAATGAAGTGTTTAAATGAATTTTATTTACAAGAGCCATATTTTACAGTGCATTAGATGCCTCAAAATGCTCCAAGACCAATGAAAATAGACAGGTGACTCCATGACAGACAAAAATACACTTTAATCTGCATCCCACAAGGCCAGATACTTAAAAGGTGAGACTGCTGGAGAAAAGGTCAACCAGCAACAGTGTAGGAAACTCCACCCTAAAAGCTGGGGCAAAAAAAAAAAAAAAAAAAAAGGGCCACAATCTATTGCGTCAGGGTTTGAGTACATTTACAGACCTACTGGAGTTTGAGACACTGTAGATTCAAGCAGCATGTTTACAGAGTGGTGATAAAACTTCTGCATTTTGTCGGATATGGTCAACACCATTAAAACTGCTTGATTAAGACAACTGTAGTAGTGTCGAGCATGAAGGTGGGATTGAGAATATAAAAATATTAAAACCTCTAAACACCCAGCGCTAGTCCAAAAAGACCAGGGCATGTTATTTTAAGAATTGTGGTACACTTCATTTTAAAACAATATGAAAAAAGAGAAACATTAAAGACTGACAGGGCGTACAAAACTACATGGACAAGGAGAATGGAGGAGTCAGTTCAGCAGCAATTTAGTGGGTGCTTGAATGCTGGAAACTTCATGGTACCTGCAAGAGAACAAAAAATTTCGAACATTTATGCCAAACTGCAAAATTTGACAAGTGAAGATGAAATCTCTAAAGCAGTCAATATAAACACAGTCACCTCTAAACATTAAGTTTATTGGCAGCCCACTTACTTGGAGCCCTTGTACTTCTCCCGGACAGACTGCTGTGCATGCTGAGTGGCATTAAGGTACATTCGGTGAAGATCCTCAACACACGGCATCAGGTCTTCCAGAGAGTAGCCACTAATCTCAACCAAGGACTTGGGCTGAGGAGTAAACAACTAAAGTCATCCCAGTTGTTTGCACTTTGTTTTTGCCCACAACCCAACTCAGGAGAAGTGGCCACAAAAGATGCTGAAACCAATGATGTTTTGGCTTGAAATAAACCAAAACTTTTTCAGATATCAAGAGTTGCTTATTGATTCTTACAATAGACTAGCCATTTATTTTAAAACATCAACTCCTCAACTTACCCATGAGCCACCAGTGACAGTGTTGTTGGCCACTATGTAAGCTGCAGCAGCTGACTGTGATGGGAGGTATTTCAAGAAGGGATCTGAATCAACCAGACTGAGCTCCCCAAGGTACTGAAAAGTCATTAAAAAAAAAAGTCAAATAAATTAGACTGAATTGAGATTAGCAAGACAATAGATGACATCATTGCCACTTGAACAAGCACGTGTCAAGTGGCGATCTATAAACATGCCTCATATGCATACAAGTAGTGCTCACCATTGCTAGACTCTCCACCTGTTTGCTAACGGACTGGTGGAGAAAGTACTGGGTGAGAAACTGCTGTATTGTTGGTGCTGCCAGATCAAAAGAGAGCACTTTAAGCACCAGCTGCTCCATTCTTAACACTTGCTTCTTTGTGTAGGTGTCGTCTGTGATGTAAACAAACTCCGCCACCTCAGGAGGGTAGATCTCTTCAAATTTTCTGTGTTTGAACATTGAAACAGAACATGTTGATTGAACATTTACAGAAAGTAAACCAATTACTGAACATTTAGTTTAAATACTGATATGCAAAAAAAAAGCAGGTACATACGAAGCTAGCAGCATCGCAGCAGTCCCAACCAGCTGAAGCTTGCCCCTTAGGACTGACATTGAAGAGAGGAAGCGATCGATGTAGTTGACAGCCAGATAAAGTGTCTCGTTCTGGAGTTTGTACTCTTCTCCAACCTCAACCAACCAATCAACTAGGATGGCCCTCATGCTGTTTGTAATGTCTGGTTGCTTCTTCATATAGCCTGCTTTAGGCCTGGTTTTCACCTGTGGGACAACAATATTGTTATAAATAACCCATGTGCAGACAGGATCGGGTACACTCCAACATAGAAAGACTTCAATTATAAAGTTAGGTCACTTCTGTCAGCACAGCAATCCAGTTTCTTGTTAAGCTAAAAAGTAGCATTTCTCACCTCCATTTCCCTCAGGTATGTGTGGATTTCAGCTGCATATTCTAGGACCTCGTTTACATTGACAGGTTTTTCCTCACCCTCAACCACAGACATGTCCATGGGGGAATCTGGGCAAAAGAAAGTTTCACATTTAGGGCACAAAGTGAAATCAGATCCTGGTGGTCCACAACAGTCTACAAAGCCTTCTTGCATTTCTGAACCTGAAGTACATTCATTGTGCTGAACAATTAAAATTTTAAATTGCAGTTGGAAACAATGCAACCTGCAATTCACAGGCTACAACTTAGGATATAAGGTATGCTATTAAATAATGACTAACGTAGTTCTATTTTGTTAAACTCTAGCTGACTGAAAATTTCAGCAGGCTGCAATGCGTGAGTGGATACCATGTGGTTTGCTCCCAACGCTTCAATCAATATACTCGTCTTAAAGTCATGCCTCACTCAGGATTTCAACTTTGTCAATGAGTTTACAAATTCATGCAATCCTACTTAAGCTACAGTCATGTTTTGATGCAGTTTGATGTGGTAATGCTCCATCGCATGTTTTAAACCCATTGTAAAGTATGCATTGAACTGAAGCCTAACTTTATGAAGTGTATCTCAAATCAAATCACTGTTAGAACAATCACAATTAGATGCCCAAATTGTTCAGCCCTGCTTACAAGTAGTCAAAATGAATCAGTCAAACTGCAACCCACCAAAGCTGACATCCATCGCTGATGGAATATCAATAGTTGCCAGGGGCTGTCTGAGTCGTGCCACAGTATTACTGATGGCCAGGGGAGAGATTTCGATCGTGGGCTTCCCTTTGACAGCTTCGGCCACCTGCTGTGGCTTCTTGCTGCAGGCTCCATCAGGCTCGTCCACATGGATCTGGAAAGTGGGTAGCTTGGCAGAAGGCTTATCATGGCAGCTTTTGCCAAAATCTTCATTTTTGCATGACAAGGCCTGTGACTCCTAGAAGCAGAGAAGAAGTCAAGACATCAAACATGACAGTGCAATTGAAAGATGGTGACAGTGAAGAAAGCTACAAATATGAGGGCTAGTGTTACAGACTGAGTACAAAAATATAGCAAATGGTAGAACACTTAATCGCTTGCGTTTCATTTTCATGGGATAGTTGAGACTACCACGTGATGCCAATAGTTTTAGAGGAAGGCGGGAGGAACTAGAAAATGAATATCTTCAATTAAGTCGGCTTTTCAATGCAAAGTGTGACCCCTAAGATATTAGAGATTAAAATGGCGGACTACGGAGGGAAACAAACGTAACCACCGCTACTTTCACATAAATGTGCAAATGTGTAAAAACAATTCATGTACAACAGCAAAGCCACTTCATCCACACATGTGAGCAGTTTTAAATAGTGCGCAAGTGAAATTAGTTGCCTCCAAAAGCAACAATAGCAGCCCATTGTGCCTACAGCCACCGTTAGCAAACACTAGCTCCAGCTAGGGTAGCTATGTAGCACTGTTACCTGCTTTGCGCCGCGCTGGTTCTGGGTTTTGTTCAGCTGGTTGTTCTGCAGGGCTCCCAGGACGGTTCTGTTGTTGGCTTGCTTCGGGGGAAGGTTTTCTTGGTTGTCGTTTGCAGCAGCTCGGGGTTTCAACGAGCCTCTGAGTCGCGACAGCATATTTTCCTGGTTGTGATGCTCGCTAGCCGCGCTTCCCTGTCCTCTGTTAGCTCCTGACATGTTTCCCTCGGACAAAAACTCGAGCCTGTCGCCACTCGTTTTGTAATTTACCGCTACGTGATCCTCTTTGGGAAATATGAAGTCACGAATGTCTTAAGTGGTAAAATGTCCCGTACGGACTTTATATTAAGGCGAGCGTTAGCTGCTACCTTCCCGAGGACACTTAGAGAACAATACAAAAATAAGCAGTTGGGATGGCAACAACACTTGGAACTGCAACGCTAAGAAAGTAGACAAAAACAAGACATGCACAGTTGGCGGTATAAAAAAGCTGCAATCTGGAAATGTGACTTCAAGGCGCCATAGTCATAAGTTTCAAAATTACTACCAACCTGCAAACAAGGCAGCTAGCCTCCGTCCATTTACACAGAAACACGCAAAGGAAGACGCTTTCTCTCAGTTCAAGTAGCCCGCGAGGATTGAAACAGACCAATCACAAGCCACGCAGTTGATGACGTTTTAGATGTACGGCAACAGAGAGAGTACAAAATTCCTTTAATTACAAATTCAAAACTGGTTTGACACACTTGAACGTATGGAAGGTCGTTATATAGGAGAAGCAGCTGTCCCAGCCTGCACAGACGATACGAATACTATAATAGTATTATATGTAAAGATTAGCAAGGCCAATATTATCCAAGAACAAACCTGGAATTTAAATTAGCCTAATCTAGTGAGCAGGAAGGGATGCTCCATTAAATTTCTTACCTTAGTAAACCACAAGTGTTCTTATTCTAAATTCAATCGCTCACCATGTAGTGTGCTTGCATATACTATTTTTTGTGTTGTTTAGGCAGAATTGTGTTGTTGCTGGTTTATATTAACCACTGTAAATACTGTTGATTGGTTAAATCTTTAACACTGTGTCATATTTTATAAATGAAACATTTATTCTGCAAGGATACCAGCTGTCAAATAAGTATGGAACAAAGAAAGCAATATTTTTCTTAAAAATATAGTTAAGCATAAAGTGTAAAGTGCAGATAATGTAGCACAAGAACTTATTCCCAGTACTTCAGTAACTGTACTTAATTGATTTGTACAGCTATGCATGAATGTACATATATGTCTCTGGTTGTTATAGTGTCAGAGGATTAAATTACTAGAAAGAAAACAACAATGGTAATCTGTATATAACATTACCAGCAAAGCTATAGCAGATGCTGTCGTTAAATAAATGAGACTTGAGTGTGATACGTGGAAAATTGTTGAACATTTCTCACATATGGTTTGATTTACATATGGTTTGATGCATCACACAATTTTTGTTTCTAGAGAGTTTAAAATGGTTTTCATCTCATTTTTAATTCAAGGGGGGAAACTCACAGTCCTATGAAAGTTAGGAAATACATACATACATACATACATACATACATACATACATACATATAAACAGACATTCCCTGTGCCTCTCATTTGGTCACTGAAGTTTCAGAAGTCACAAAGCCACTAATAAAAAGAAGAACCTGCACGTTCCTGGCAACCTTTTAAGATGCTATCAAAAGACATCATAAATGTTAAATATTATAATATAATATACACTGTAGTTAGAACAAGCAGCATCTAAATGAAAATATAACAACAATGACATTGACACAGTAACTATAATGAAACAAAGCTGCTGTACTGTATTTACAATACAAAAATTACAAACACAGAAACCCCCAAAGACAAGTAAATAAATACCCTCTCATCTATTTGACATTACACCTCACTGAAAAAACTCCAACAGCGAATTTAAATCGTAATTATTGAGAATCTCCAACAACGAGGAAACCTTTGTTTTCACATTCTGGCCCTTAAACTTGAATTTGTCGATGAAAAGGTCTGTGATCATTCCTGTAGGAAAGAGAAGGGAAAAGTTAGTAACTGCAAGACAAAAAATACTAACAGGCTCTGAATGCAAGTATTGAGTGAAATGTAGCGATGATCAGTTAAAGGTGACTATAATGTGAAGTACCACACCATAAAGCCTTTCAAGGTGTGCAGGCTGCTTCTTGTACTCCTCCAGGAGATTGGCAGATTCATCCAAGATGTTGCGATACTCTGGGATGAGGAAGTCTGCATTTCCTTCGTGAACCTGAAGCTCCTGCAAACGATAGACACAGTGGAAATGAGGTATATATAAGGTTGAATATAAGTCTTTGTGAAATAATTAAAAAAAAACAAAAAAACCCACAGGGAATGAGTGAGAATGTGTTGCTTTTAACTCAAGGTAGACTTGCAGACTTATGAAGCAGTGAGGACTCAGCTGTATGTGATCATATTCAAATCCAAGTTGTCTAGAGGCTGGTGTGGCTGTAGGTGGCCTCTGCCTGATGAAATGTTTTCAAAACTTTCTCAAATCAAATCAAATCAAGTTTATTGTCAATTCGCTGTACATACACAGTTGTACAGGTAAGATGAGAGAGCATTTCTTTAGGATCCAATAACTTAAAGCAATTTAAATAAACAAGTGTTGGCATATCTAGATTGGCAGTTCAGCATTCTGACAGCTTGTGGAATTAAGCTGTTGATCATTCTGGAGGTTTCTCTTTGCCTTTTCTACAACGGAGTTCTCTGTAACTTTTCCACTTAAGTTTGCGTATTCATCTGCAGAAAAAAGGAGCAATTGCTGCTGTTTTTTCAGAATGTTTTAGCCAATACTCACTTTAAGAGCATCGATAAGCTGAACTTTTCGAGCCAACAACAACTGGTACTCCAGCTTTGGATGGATCATCTTGAGGGTGTGGCTCACAGAGTCGTCATTGATGTCTGGAAGATTAATAAACATGCCATTTATTTTTTCTTTTGATCATTTAACGCAAGAAAGATGTTAGCGACAATGGAGCAATAATGCACCTACCATATGAAATGTTGAGATTGATTTTTCTTTTGGTGGCTTCTTTAGAGAGAACGTCGCTCAGTATGGAGATAGTAGAGATGTTGTCGGACTTGAAGTAACCCTCGCCTTTGCTGAAATTACAGATTCAGAGAAGATGTGCTTGATTGAAAGTACACTTTGACATTAAAGGAAGTGTACATTTTTAGCATGTAAAAGAAACTACTTTGTCTAGCAGCATCATACAGAACAAGAACTTTCATTTACACTTTAGTTCGGTGACAATCTCTTGATAAACTTGCACTATGTGCAAGTTTATGTGTGTTTGGAGGCTTTCTACTGCTCGCATTTACCAGTATGTGGCTTCAAGCTGTGTGCCAAGGAAGGTGTTATGGAAATAGAAAGTGATGCTATCTCTTGCTGGTGTTTTTTCAGGCACCTCTGGCAAACAGAAAACAACCCAGGAGTGGATCTCTGCGAAACTGAACTGCCCAACCAAGTTCAGTCTGTTCATCGGCCTGAAGCAGAGTAAAGAAGAAAGAGAAAACATGAGCGAGTGTTACACTGCATTCACAATTTTGTGTTAAATCTCACTATGTCACAATATATATGCTTGAGGTAGCAGTTGGTCTATTTAGCTCCTATAATAAAATGTAATAATTAAAAATAATTGTCTAAATTATGTCGCACTAATCATTCTTTTTAGGTCTGATACCTCTAAATGTAGCCCGTGTGAACAATTCTAGGGTGGCGGATGTTAGAAGTATACTTTGTATGAGGCTTCTGAATGAGAATCTACATGATCTGAATATACTTTATCGCTTTTAAAAACACTTCTCAAATATCAAATTTCAATGGCTTTTTGTAACTGAACTCTTCTTCACCTGTCTTGGTCTATGCTGTGTGTCCGCTGGTGCAGGGACAGTGGTTTGATCTGGTACTGGCGGACTTGGCAGGTCTTGGGTTGCAGTCTGGGGGTAATGTAAGCTTGCAGGGTCCCATACTGTCCCTCAATGGACCTCACCTAGGAAAAGAGTTTATTGTGACTAAAACACATAGTTCTGCTGCAATGCATCACACCTCAAACAGCTGAAACAAATGTGATATAAATGCACTTATATCACACTGCAAAAGACTTCTACCAACATTATGGAGGAAGTTGTGATGCAATAGAAAGCAACACGCAACCATAATCACACAAAACTATGCCCACTGTAACATTATGGATTTTAACATAAATAGCATTGCATAGAATTAAAGGAATGAGCACGAGGCTTCACTGAGCACCAGAAAATACCACAATTAGTTGTACTTGTTACCTTGAGCTCAAGTCTGGTAATGTTGGCCTGACATCTGTATGTTGCTAGGAGGAAGTTCCCATTAGGCTGCTGCAAACAGGAATAAGAGAGTCAGGCCTCTGGAGGATACTGCAGGTTGCTGACTATATTTGTACAGTTTGTTTATACAGCTCACCTCTGAGTCGCATTCGCTGAAACTGACAACAGCTGAGTTCCTATCCACATCCAGCAGGTCTATGGGGACGTCGCTCTGCATACGCAATCACACTTAAGGTTACATTCTGCATGTCTACATGTGAGACATGATATCAGAAGTATACTTTATTCAAAAATGTATGGGTCTTTAATTACGAGTCCATTGTAACAACACAGTTTAGTCACCAGCTGTACCTGGAGCAACACATTGTCGATGGCAGTCTGCACCTCCAGGGTGAGGCTGTAGCTGGCATCGTCCTGGCAGAGAGTGAACTTGTCGTTGACGCTGAAGACGGGCACAGCAGAGACGGCCGTGCTTGATTGAGAGGTCTGCTGGTACTGCTCACGTCCCTGCAGGACTTTGACCTGCAGCTGCTCCAGCTCGGCCCTAAAAGGCAACAATACGACTGACTGAAGAACAGATTTGTTTTGAGGTCATATTTCAACTATTGACAGTAAGTTAAAACAATGAATGGCTCAACAGCTGAACATGAGAAAGAGCTACGCTATTTTGCCGATACCTGAGTCCTTCCACTTTAGACTGTGTCTCCTTACTCATCTTGACCTCGTCTCCGGGACCGGCCTCAGCCTTCTGGGGCTCAGTGGTCAAACCCGTCACCCATCCTGTAAGAGATAAGGACTGTAGTGCATATCACATACCCGACTACTGCTCCTAAACTAATATTGACTAAACCCATGTAAATGCTAAACAGTTCAAGCATAATGTCTCTAATTAAAAATGGTGTCAGGAAGATAGACAACTGACACCTTTTCATTTCAAATTATGTATACAAGCTGCACTACTTGTGAAAAAATCTTCATCTAACCTGTATAAGTAGCAGTCAAGACCTCATCGTAGGACTCTTTCCCCACACAGCCACCCTGGATGGAGGTCACACTCTCTGACAACACCTGTAACCAGAAAAGACAGGATATGAGCAATTAATGAGGGAGGGAAAAATGTATGACTGTGCTGCATTTAGGAAAAGGCCAACAGGCTCTCAATTGAAGGGGGAAATTATTGAAAGTATAAAAAAATAACGACAATTTAATATCCATCCATCCATTATCTATACACCTCTTAATCCTCACTAGGGTCACGGGCGGGCTGGAGCCTATCTCAGCTGACTTAGGGCGAAGGCAATTTATCATAATTTCAGAAAATAAGTGGCAGTTGTTTCTAGGTTTAAGACAGTCAAACTTCTAAAACAGAAAGTTAGAGAAATGCAGACTTGGCTGAATGTGTTGCAAAATATCTCCATTCAAGCTGTGATGTCGGCAGGCAGTGTTTTCACACAGTAATTCTGTTGTTTACCATTTGAAAACTACATACTTGACTGAAAAAACAGATCTGAGTAAAAACTGGAGAGTGAATACAAAGTGCCACACAAAAACTCACATGGTCAAAGCGTAATGCGGGTTCATTGGTGCTGTCAAAACCATAGACCTCCACTGTCCCATCATCTCTGCCCACCAGGATGTCATTCACTCCGTCTCCAACAATATCATAGGTGTCAATGCAAAGAATTCCTGACGGGGGAGAGAGGAGTGTGATTGTGCTGTCAAAGGCTGAACCAAAACAACAAGTAGAGTATAGTTCAGTAGAGCGAAGCCTTCATTATCTCTGAGGACCAGTTTGCTAGCAGTAGCTAATAGTCATCATACACAAATAGAAAATACGTAACAACGAAGAATAAAAACATAAATATGCCATCAGAAAAGTAGAATTTAAATTATTCCACTCTGAGTAGAGGAGACAGAGCCTTTAAAGTTGCAGCTCCAAGACTCTAGAATTCTTTGCTGCTGCACGTTAGAGAAGCATTATCACTGTCCATTTTTGAATGAAAAATGAAATGAAATGAAAAATACTTTATTCATCCCAGAAGGGAAATTCAATATTCAATTTTTAAAACCCGTCCGAAAAATCATTTCTATGCCCTGGCCTTCGCCCCGGCATGACTCCTGTTTTATTGTTTTCTATTGTTTTTACTGTTCTTACTGTCCTTTTAAATGATTTTACCACACTTTTATTGTATTTTGCATTTTAAATGTTTTCAAATTGTTTTATATTTTGAGTTCAGCCTTCTTAGTGCTGACTTTAAAAAGATGGAAAAGATGATTAAGATGACTGCCAATGATCATCTGACACAACCTTACTCCTTGCCTCAATCTGTTTATAACAAGGAATACATAAATACATACATAAAGGGGGAGAGGTGGCACTTTAGATTCTTAGACGCAATACAGATTATCCATCTCCTACAAGTCAATCTGACGTGCTATGGAAAATGGTTGATATTATATTACACACTAATGCATCTTGTTGGATAAAAAATGCAATACATTACTGCCATACACAACATACCTCCTTTCGTTTTGTCATTGTCAATCTCCCATTTGGTCACAGCTGAGTCTTCACCTATCTGGACCAATCCTATTTTACCATCTGTGGTTCCATAGAGGACTTCTTCTCCTGAAGAAAAAATATGGACATTATATTATATCTGGTCCATATAAAGTAATCTTATACAGTATTTTTTTTCATTATAGTAGACAACAAACAAACTTGCCTATATCTCTATTGTATAGTTCCAAGACAGATGGAGGGCCAGGGACTTCAATGTCATAGGCAAGTTCAGATCCCTAAAGTAGAAATTCATAAAAATAACAACAAAAAAAACAAAACACCTCAAATGATTGAGTTGAAACAACCTCACAAAATCAAAAGCAAGCAAATATGTGCTTATTCTACCTGTAAGACCCGAAGAACACGATCTTGGCATGCAAGGACTGGGACAAGGCGACTGAGGTTTTCTGAGGACAAACACGTGATATCATTGATTTTGTCCCCAGAGAGGTAGTAGTCTTGATCCTTGCAGTCACAGTAATGGTTGTAGATGTAACTTGCACACACAAAAAGGTCAGCGCCTGAGACATGCCTGGAAAAGACATTGCCAGCACCACTCAGTCGAGTACAGATCCCATAACTTTCAACAACTCAATCAAGCAGTGTAAATCAAAATGCAGAGAAGCAGTTCTCACATGGCGTTCACGTTCTCAGTTAGGTTGGCTTCAAAGGTGAGGAACTGTTTGCCTTTCTTGGTGAATCCCCGGACCTGAGAACCAGAACAGACAAAGATCTTCTCCTGGGGAGTTCCCGCAGCGCCTCCAAGGTCCATTCTCGCTATTTTCTGCCCTGGGAGTGTTTTAAACACGGGCTGAAACAGAAAGTCAAATTTCTTAATCGTAGGGACCTTTCATTTCAGTTCAGTTCAGCTATACAACAATAGAAAAATTTCAACTCACCACTGCCTCTCCCTTCTTCATCCCAAAACATGTAAGTATACCATCGTGATCAGCAATAGCAACCTGAAACACAATGAGATGCCAATCAAGCATCACAATATTGAAAGATTTATTGAAAAAACTATAGAAATGCCAGGGGCGAAGTGAAGTCCAAAAGACACACATTCTCACAAACTGGAGTTACATCCACTAACTACTGATTTTCTGGTGAAACCTTTCTCTATGGGCGTTGTTCTCATATAAATCTGTCCTGTAGATATATAAAAACGCAACCATCCCCCAATTTAGGTATAGCTGTGGCTTTATTTAAACTCTTGGACAGACTCGTCAGACAAGGCTGTAACAAACTGTTGAACAATCCACGATTCACCCAGAACCTGCTGCCAAAAGAAAGAAAGAAAAGCCCGGATGGACACAGGACACAAACCTAGATAAAACATTGCATTGAGTGTCTTATGTGTACTTTCTAATGCAATTTAGATTCTAATCACTTTATTAACAGTTTTAAGCAATTTAAAAAGTGTAACTTTAGCAGCCCTTCTAGATTTTAAATCAACTGAGGGCTACACAAAAAGCTTATCATACAGTATATGAGCTCTCCTCTACTTGTTGTTGTCTTGCCTGCACATGATTAGCAGAATGGAAGTAATGCTCTCTGCCTGGCCACCCTATTAAAAGTGTATTTCTCCCCAATTGAAAATACAAACTATAATTAGTTCATGGTACTAGCTAACAAGACAATAACTATACCTTTTGGGTGGCCTTTTTTCCCAGTGCTGGAAGCAGCCTCATAGTTTTCTGGGATGTCACACCAACCTGAAAATACAGAACAAGGAAGATCATGTACTGCAATATAATAAATTAAAAAAAAAACAAAAAAAACAACTGCTCTGCATCCAATATTAGAATGACAGACTGCTAGAAAAGCAACATAAACCTTCGTGTTACCTGAATATAATCAACTCGATTCAGATGGAGCTCCATTTTCCTTCTGTAGTGTGTCCGAACCTAAGTAAAGTATGCTGCAAATGTTGCTGGTAGGTTATCCGGTCACACAACTGTAGGAATCATTAGTCTCTGTCCTCTGTAGCAAGCTGCCACTCACAACTTAAAAGAAAAATTTAACCGAATTACAGGACGATAAAGACGGTAGTTTAGACTGGGATTATCCAGCAAGAAGATTAGCTCGACGGGCTAACGTTAGCTAGAAAGCTAATTGGCTAACACGATTTATTTGCACGCCATATGACTTTTGTAACGATCGAAAACCCTCTTTAACTGAATCTACTGAGCCACACTAAACACCTAAAGCGAGATACTGTTTGCATATTTTGCAACACGGAGCTGAATTCCCTTTTTTAATCGCGAATATTATGCTTAAACTCTCTATACAACACTTGGGAAGGCGACGAACGCTGTTGCCAATGGCAACGCTGCAGCCTTTAACACGCTGCCACATCACTGGACCAAAGAGATTCACAGGGTTTGAAGCTGCCTCCTGATTGGTTATCTCACTTCGATAAATCCAACGGGACTTCGAGGCTGTTTTCCAGGACCACTATAACATTTAATATGATGACCAGGCTGGAGACCATTACTCACACTGGGGTGGCACAAAATCCTGTTAATATTTTGTATTCTTTTTCAGCAAATCACCTCTAGCCAAACAGGCCTTTTTTAGTCTCCCCTTCCACTCTGCCTGCAGCTTGAGCACATCAGCTCAGTATGCCATCGTAAAACTATTCTACATGACACAAGGGCAAGCTGTAATATTGGAGTAATTCAACTGTACATGTTCAAACCAAAAAACGATCCTGAGCAAACATGATACAGAAGGTCTGACAGGATTGAATCCTTGACGGCTAGAAAATTATCAGCACAAAACTCCAATACTGTTCTTTGATATTTTATTGTTTTAATTAAGAGATAACTTTAATCTTGTCATAAAAATGTGGTTTGTCTGTAGGCAAATAAACACATATAACATGGCAGAGAAAAAAAAAAAACAGCATGCATTAAGCAAGAAGCATTTTAGCAACATATGAATGGATGAAGCAAATTCTAAACAGTGTTTAAACTGAGAAACGGGGTCAGGATGCATTCAAAGACATGACATGCATTGTGCAAATCATTTAAAATATGAATCCTACAGCAAAAATGTCTGGTACCTTAAGATGATCTATAAAATACAGCAGATATTTTGTTTCTCATTCCGACACCCATCCTGACATCATAGCTACATAGATTTTGCATGTTGTTAAACGAGTGAGTTGATGGCATTGATAGAATACATTTTAAATTAGGCATTTAGACAAATCAAAACATTAGATGCTTTGTACATAAGAAATATGAAGGTAGAAATCGCAAAGCAAAGAACAAGTACAAGATGATTATACAAAGAAAAGACAAAATCAGTTATGTATAAGCACATGTTCATTAAGTTACTAATCTCAGAATGTTAATGTTTCATCACAGAATAACCAATCTTCATGAATAAATAACGACATAAAAGGAAAGAACAATGACAGCCGATACACAGGAACGCAGCTGATGTCTACCGTGCTCCCTTCAGTGAACGTAACAAAGCGAGAGGGTGTCCGCCGCTTCAATGAGGTCACATTAAGAAGATGGGAAAAGAAATATCACCAATAGACTTCAGTTCATTACTGGCTGGTCTTCAACTGTACTCAAATATACAGAAAAGTTGGAGCACAGACTGTAAAGGTGACATTCAAAAAACAGTTCCTTCCGTTGATGGCAATATCTGTCCCCATCAAAGTTTAAGTCACATCTTACATGGTTGGAAAACAAAAACATGAAGAACACAAAACTTTCTATGTAGCGTAATCAGACCCCTGTGGGGGCGAGACGGCTTATGAAGGCGATACTGCTGAGGCACATCCTCCTGAAGAAGGCGGGGCAGGCAGGCTTCATGATGAAGTGCTCCAGAAGAATTCGCAGCTCTGTGAACAAGGTGCTGGGGTGCAAAGAAGACATGTTTAATACTCAACTCTGATCATCCAAAGTACGTCAAAGATTTGTCATTTTGAAACATTATTGAAATGATTTTGCATTAACATACATATTGTACATCTGCTGATTTCTAATTAAATTGCTGTTCAAACAGCATCTCTTATAAAGAAAAAAATAATACAGTGGTCCAACCATTGAATTCATGTGGATCGTGCCAATTTCAGTTTACTTTAAAATGCCAGTTATACTGTTCAGTTTGTCTTTTTGAATGTAGTTTTACATCAATTCAGAAAAAAAGATCTGTCCTGCACAACTTGAATACTGCTTATCAAGCCTGCACAGAACTTCTGTCTGTAATTTTTCTTATTTTTTAGGAGAACATTTTAAACGTATTTTATTTTTTATAATTTCTTTAAACTAATTTTATTGTAGGAATAGAACGAACATTTTAGTTTAACTTTAGTTCATCATTTTCACTCTTAACTTTTAAGTAAAAAATTAAACGCAGGTCTTTTTCTTTGACAGTGTCTATACTGTGCAGTGTTGTTAGTTGTGCTTGTGAAATCCCGTTGAACACTTCTTCTACCACTGATAACACAAACATTCAGTTAGAGAAAGAGTGAAAATAAAGGAAGAATGTTTTACCTTCAGCCACCAAATAATTAAACAATCCTGCTCTGAAAGTAAAAGTCTGACCATTTCACACTGAATTTATGCTACTTTTAATCATTAAACCATGTTTGTATAATTTAGTTAATTCTGTAAGGGCAATATACCTGTACGCTGACAGACAGCTATGAATTTCTCCACATGTGTGTGATGAACTTTTGCTAGATGTTTCAACAGACTGATCATGTTTTAGCTTTTGCACACAAAAGACTTATGACACTTCTGGCAACGAGCCTCATCAGTATCTTCTCTGGTGTTGTTCAACCACACCTTTAAGCTACTTGTCTCTGTGATTGTCACCAAGAGCAGGATCTGCGGGCGTGCTACAGGGAGCTGCAGTGCATGAGAGCGTGTTTTATTCTGGACTGGGAATAGTGAAAATACAATCGAGTTGATGACAGTGGTGTAGCAATAACCAATAGGAAATCCATCCATTATCTAACCCGCTTAACCCTCACTAGGGTCATGGGGGGCTGGAGCCTAACCCAGCTGACTTAGGGCGAAGGCAGGGGACACCCTGGACAGGTCGCCAATCAATCACAGGCAACCAAGCACACTCACATTCACACCTACGGACAATTTAGAATCACCAATTAACTTCAACATGTTTTTGGACTGTGGGAAGAAGCCGGAGAACCCAGAGAGAACCCACACTGCACGGAGAGAACATGCAAACTCCACGCAGAAAGATCCTGGGTGTCCTCACCAGGATGCAAACCAGCGACCCTCATGCTGCGAGGCAACAGTGCTAACCACTGAGCCACCTTGCAGCCTCAATAGGAAATCCATTTTCCTAATTTCTCCAATACAAAATCCAAAAATGTGTTTCAATGCCCATCCCTAGCGAGTACCTTGATTAGCTGCAGCAGCTTTTCTGCAACACGATGTTCATGAGGCTAAATGAAAGCATGTTAGCTTCTGCAGTCATACACGATATATGCCTGGTAATTGCTGGGTTTAGCTATTTAGCAATGAACATTGAGCTCTCCAACAAAATGAGACACAATTCTAGATCCCCTCAAACATATCTCTGGCATTTCAATACTGACATTTCTTGTAACTTTTTGGACAGTATACACTAACGGCGCTATATTGTGTCAGAGATGAGCTAATATGGCTGAACAACATCCTTGACGTTTCCATGATTCCAAAGATGCAACACCTTTTTGGTGTTTTCAAGACGTTCTGGTTTGCAATAAAAGTAGTATTTGTAAATGCAATCTTTGATGATGAATGTCTAAGGTAAACAACTTTTAAAAAAAAAAAAAAAAAAAAAAAAAGCATATATATATGTTTTAGGTATTCTTCACCCTTTGCACTATGACTTGCCATGTAATCATCATTTACATGCTTTGGGGCAATTTTAATTCAAATAACTTTATTTATCCCCTAGGGGCAATTCAGAAAATGTTGCTTTATTGAGCATCTTACCGGCAGTATGGGTTTCTTCTGGATGTGTAACGAAGAGTGAGGAATCGGTAGTAAATGAAAGGCAGCAACAAGCTCCCCTGGCCGCTGTAGACAAAATATAAACGACATTAATACATAAAAACTGACATAACACAGCTGCAGAGTTCAGTGCTTCAACAAGAACAAACAACTTTGTGTGTTTTTGTAAGGATCTTTTTTTTTTTTTATTATTGGGGTTTTGTCTACTCAAGCAAAACTGACATTGTTTGTTTATCAAATGATAGAAAAAACAGGGAAATACACAGATTTTAAATAAGGTCACACCTTGCTTTTACTGTGTTCAGACTAATCATGCTTATTGTTGTGCATAGTTTCCACCTAAAAAGCCCATTCTAAGCCGAGAAAAACCCTGGGATATTAATCCAAACTGCAAAAAGGAAACACCAGTATTACATAATGCAATCAACATAATGACAGTCTGACCTCCCTGTACCGCTGAAGGATGTTATGAACATTTGCAATTGTTTTTAAGATATAATTCAGTGAGATCACTACTTCCACCATTGTCACAAGGCTTACATGTTGCAAACTAAAGAACCTGAAATGTCTCTTAACAACAGGAAACACTTGACTTCCATCATGAGCCTACCTGAAGAGCATGAAAACAGTGGCGGGCATCAAGAAGATCTCATTACAGGCAATAAACTTGAGGATGTTCTGCTGATTGGATGTTAGTTTGTCCAGCAGGTTTCTAACAAACATCAGGCTGCTGGGGCCCATGGACTGTAGGAAAAACAAAAAGTCAGAAAGTGACAACAAAGCTGCAGCAAATCAAAGTTTTCAGTGGGACAGAAAGTTTACATGAAGCAAATGTGAAGGAAATGGCATTAGCAATTATGGCTTTTATTAGATTTTTGTGTTTAATATTTGCCTCCGAGCAACCCATGCTTGATTAAGTAGCCAATTAAAACTCCATTTGGCTGGTGCTAACGGCCCACCTGGGTGCTAAGAAATGTCTGGCAAACTGCTTTCAGACATACTTTTTTAATAAACAACATTAAAAGCCCCAGCAGGTGGTTGTTGACTAATACTCACATCAAGGACTTTCTTAGTGTAGGTAGTTGCATGAAGCAAGGAAAACAGGAACACTGGGAAGATGCTCACTGGACACAAATGTTAAGGATCAAC